AAGCACCTTTACCCACGGAACCATTTTGCTGGCCCCATTTTTTTTTTTTTGCTTGCTTGGTTTTTTCCCCCTTCTGCATGCCAAGCAAGTGTTCTATCAATGAGCCAGACTCCAGCCCCTCAAGAGTAGGTTCCAGGCAAGCGCTCTGTCCCCCGTCTGTACCTCCGTCTACACCTCCAGCTCTTTTTTAGAAACAAAAACAAATGATGATGATGATGATGATGATGATGATGATACTGTTTCATCTTGGAGAGGAGTCTCATTACGCTTTCCTGGTTGGCCTTTAATTTAAAATCGGCGCCATCAGCCTCCCCGGTAGCTGAGGTTACAGGTCCTGCTCAAAATGGAATCTTGTCTTGAGGGAAAGCACTTTGATGTTTAATTTTGTTTATAAATGTGTACAGCACAAATATCCCACAGGGGCCCCAACGACTTGCAGAAACACATTTCCAAGTATCCTTGAGGCCATGACTTTGCATCCTGCAATAAAAAACTACTAACATGTGGTGTGACAAGGAAGTATGGAAATTGTTCCTTCTGTTCCTTTTTCCTCTCTCTCTCTCTCTCTCTCTCTCTCTCTCTCTCTCTCTCTCTCTGTCTCTCTGTCTCTCTCTCTCTCTGCTGTGTGGTGTGGGTATGTGTGTGTGCATGTGTGAGGTGTGTGTGTGTGTGCAGCATGTGTGAGGTGTGTGTGTGTGTGTGTGCAGTATGTGTTGTGTGAATTGTAAGTGTGTGTGAGATATGTACCTGAGTGATGTCTGTGTGTGCAGCCTGTCGAAGTATAAATGCATGTGAGGTGTGTGTGAAGTGTGAACTGTTCGTGAATGGTGTGTGTATACGAATGTGTGCGAGGTATGTGTGCAGGGTACGTGTGTGCCATGTGTGTGTGTCTATGTGTGAAGTGTGTGTATAATACGTTCACACACATGTTGGGAGACACGCAACTGTGTGCACGTGTACAGAGGCCAGAGGAAGGTGTCAGGTTCCATAGAGACAGAGTCTCTCACTGAATCTGGAACCAGACTGGTGGCCAAGAAGTCCCAGCCATCCTGCTGCCTCCACTCCTGGCTTTTTACGTGAGTGCTAGGGATTAAAGTTGAATCATTGAGCTTGCATAGAAATCGCTCTTACCCCGAGTCCTCTCCCCAGCCTAGATCATTTCCTGCTTACAGTTTGGTTCCAATATTGTGTCACAAAATTCTACTGTGGACCAGGCACTGAGAGGGACCAAGACTAACAGACATTATTGTTTTCTGGTTCTCCAACTATTCATTTGACAAGTCTGCTGTTTGTTTGCTTTAAGACAGGGTCTTTCTGTAGAACCCTAGTTGTCCTGGTACTTGTTGTGTAGCCAAGGCTAGCCTCAAACTCACAGCAATCCTCCTGCCTCAGTCCCCTTACTGCTGAGAATACAGATATGCATGACCACCCTCAGTCACAGCAGACACTGTGAAAGGCATTTAAAGATCCTTTTGGACTTCTGTCCTTCATTTTCTCCCCTGAGTGTTTCTCCAGTAGCACCTACAGCCCGGCATTCGGGACTGGAGATCTGAACTCTGGTCCTCACACTTGCAAAACACACCTCTGAGAAATCTCCTGTCCTCTCCCCTGATGTGTTTTGTGTGTTTTGAGACCTGGAGCTTGCTGGTTAGGTTAGGCTGTCTGTCTAAAGAGCCCCAGAGTCCTCCTGTCTCTGTGTCCCCAGTACTGTGATTAAAGCGCACATCCCCGGGCCTGGCCTTTTTGTCATGCCAAGTGCATAACTTCCATCTGCCAGAGAACCCTGGGCGCTTGGCAGGCGGTCAGATTGGGAATGACTGACTTGGGCATCTGAGCAGAGGGAAAGGGTGTTAAAAGCCAGCCTTCCGCTCACGACCACCGTTTCCTGGCTTTGTGACCCAAGCCATCGCTTCCCCTTTTCTTTCTAGTCTTTTAAATTATGTGTATTCATGTGTCTTTGTGAGCATGTAACATATGTGCTAGCGTCCTTGGAGGCCAAAAGACAGGGCCAGACATCCTCCCGGGAGCTAGAACAACTGTGCCCATCATGGCTGCTGAGACAGCAAGTCCTCTTACACTGAGCCATCTCCCCAGCTCCTCTTTGTCCTTTCTCTCCTTGTCCTGTTAAGACACAAGTCTCCCTAGTTAGCCTAGGATGACCCTGAACTTCAGATCCTCCTGCTCAGCCCCCAGAATACTAGGTGACCAGGTGTGTACCACTAGGTCAGCAGCTAAGGATCAAACTGAGGACCTTTTTTTCACCCTTGGGAAGCCTTTGTCCAGCCTTCCAAAGCCCACCAGAGTGTTTAGATTAACCAAGAATTCAACATCTGGGAAGCAAAGCCCATTGCAGAAAACGGGTAAAATTGGGCCTGGGGCTGTTGCTCAGTGTTAGAGCACTTTGACAAGCATAGGTCTAGCCTCCAGCATTCAGTAGTAATGACGATGAAGATGGTGATGGTGAAGATGATGGTGACGGTGATGATGATGATGGGGTGGGGGAAGAAGAATCACGCCTTGGGCAGTTCTGAAGATGAATGGAACGGGAGGTCCTTCTCACTCCATTGTGGTTGTACACAGAGGGGCCTCATGCAGGGCCTTGCTTAGGGACTATAGACACAGAGGGAGAAAACTGGGGAAAACCCAGAGGGAAAGTACTTCCTCTTCAGGTCAGTAAGGAAGTCTTGGGAAGTGTTTCACGGCATCGTTCTCTCTAAGGAAGAAATGTTGAAAGCACCACACAGGTGCTCAGGAGTCTGGCTTAAAACTCTAGGCAAATGTCTATCTAGTGCAAATTCCAACACGATCTGGCCTTCTCGTAGCTGGTGAGCCCCTTTACCAACAGGGAAGGGGGAGAGAAAGCAAATGATTCCACCAGACTCTGGGCTGAGGACCTAGCGCTGATTCTAGATTGAATACAACTGCCCTCCAAAGCCTTGAGCAAGCCCCTCGCTGCAGCCAGCTTCTGGACCCTCGAAGACAAAGACCTGGCCGGCATGTTGTCTTTGCACCTGTTATACAGGCCTGTCTTTATGAGACCAGCTCTGCCCACTCGTAAAGGATCCACACAGTGAGGCTTGCTGACTGTGGATCACCCCCTGCCAGTGCCACCTGCAGGCGGGGCAAGCGGAGAGTGTAATAGAGCCCTCACCCAAGCATACGGCCCAGTCTCCCAACAGGTGTATGCGATCCTGCCCTAATTGCGTACGGCCCTGGGGACAGGCCAGAAGCATGTAGACTGGGGAAGGTGAGGGAGGGGCTTCAGGTATGTGGCCATGGCAGGGGTGGGGGGTCATCAGCTGCCTATGCTCCTGCCTGTGACCTCCAACTGCTCTGTCAGGAAGCCTAATAAAAGCTAAACAAAGCTATTGGTTCCTGAGGGGGAACTTGGTGGATATGTACCTTGGGTTATCACTGGGGGGCCTTTACAGGAGGGGTAGATATTATGAATCCCCACTCAGGAAATGAATTTTAGGAAAAAGAAGGAGAAGGGTGGGGACTGGGGTTACGGCTCAACTGATAAAGTGTTTTCCTGGTCTACACGAAGCCCTGGGTTCCAGGTCCAGCACTGCATAAACTGAGTGTTGCAAGTGAATGTATATTAACTCCCAAACCAAGTTACCACTTATGAATGCCGTTTTTCTAAACAGCAGCAACAACAAAAACAAAAACAAAAACCACCAAAAAAAAAACCAAACAAAAAAACTGTTTTTTTTAGCATACCTCTTTTTAAGTCCTTTTGAAACAAGGACATTTCTCATTGTCAAGAAGTATCTGTTGGGTTGGGTTTTTTTTAAATTTATTTTCATTTTATGTGTATCAGTGTTTTGCCTTCAGGTATGTATTGTACCACACGAACACCCATGGCGTGGGGCTGGAGTTATACATGATTGTGAGTCTCCGTGTGGGTTCTGGGTACTGAACCTGAGGTTTCCATACAAATCCCCTGTGTTCTTTAGCACTGAGCCTTCATCTTTCCAGCCTCAGCCTCCCACCCCCAAGAAATATGTTACTCCTCCATAGATAACCACCCAACCCACCACCCATTCAATTCCTTCCCAGATGGGAGGGAGGCAAAGACTTCAGGACCTAACATTGTTCTGTGAGGAGAAGAACCATCAGAACTGCCTGGAAGGCAGAGAAGAAATAGAAAAACAGCGTAGAAAGATCAGAAAAGGCAAGGGGAAATAGATCACCAGTGGGGAAACAGAGGGGAGGCCAGGAAGGGCCAAAGTACACTTCACAATATCCTCAGAGATGGTTGAGCCATTTCTCCACCTGGCTAGAGGGTAGCTAAGTAGCCCTGGGATGAAGAAATAGGATTCCTGTGGTACTTGGAAACAGGTGCCACGCAGGCAGCTAAAAAGGAACGAGCCATAGGCTTACGAGGAGTCGGAATATCCCCAGTTCTTATTGTAGAAGGGGCTGCGTCTGAGAGAGGAGGCTGGATCTGGACTTCTGGGTCTGAGAAAGGAGGGTTGGGGCCTGAAGCTACAAGTCTGAAGGAGGAGGGCCGGGGTCTGTACTCTTAAATTTGAGGGAGAGCATTTGGGGTCTGAAGCCCTAGGGCTGAGGGAAAGAGGGTTGGGGCCTAGACTCCCAGCTCTGAGGGAAGGTGTTGGGGTCTGGACCCTTGGGTTAGTAGCAAGAAGGCTGAGACCAGGCCCTCCAAGCCTGAGGGAAGAGAGTTTGGGAGTGTAACCCCTGATTCTAGGAGGTGAAGGCTGGAGCCTGCACTCCTGCATCCAAGGAACCAGGGAGCTGGTTGTTGGTATCAGGCTTGTATATCACTGGTTATGTACTTTTCAGTCAGGTGTGAAGTACTATCCAAATAGCCTGGTCTTTTATGCAGTAGATTGAGGGTGGGGCCCCCACCTGGCACATATTGCAAGGTTCCCCCCCCACACATTTCCTGGGCCACCTTGGGTAATACTGGGTATAAAAGGGTTGCATTTCCTGCTAAAGAGCACTGGAGAAATCTCCAGCCCCAGACTAGAGTCATGAATCCTATGTCAGTGCTGATGGTGGTGATCCTGGGAGTCACCACCTTGCTACCCTGTGCGTAAGAAATCCAGCCCAGGGAGGGGGTGTCTGTTCCAGAGAGTGGCATAAGATAGCCAGCTGAAATGGAGATGTCCATCCCATCCTAGATGTTCCAGCTCTGACCTGCCATAGAGCCAGAATACAGACTGTGCGCAACGTGACAGAGCTGCCCCTTGAGTGGGAAAAGGGTGAGAGAACTTGCGAGGTCGGCGAGGGTTGCCAAGACTCGGTGATGCTGCTGTACAATGGTGAGAACAAATCTCCCCGCAAAGACCTGCTCCACTGCCCTCGGGCCTCCTGCTTCCGTGGGAGGAACTCTCGCTTAGCCGCAGGAGCAACCCTCATGCCCAGTCCCCTCTTCTCTAGTGTCTCACCTTAGGTCGGGGTGCCCAACCTCACTCCAGGACCCTCACACCCCAATCCCCACCTCCACCTGCCTTCCCTTCTCCATCCAGGACCCCAGATCAACTTAGTGGTCATCAAGGGCTGCATTAAGGTTGAGGACCAAGAGCCACGCGTTACTTGGCTCAAGACAGGCCCTGGCCTCTCTATCGTCACCTACACCCACGTGTGTCGCCACCGTGACTTCTGCAACGATGCAAAAAGCACTGAGATCTTCGAGGACCTACCGACAACCACAGGTGGCTCAGGGAGGAAGAATGGCGGGTGGGGAGGGGAGGGAGGGGGAGGGGAGGGATTGTCAGAAGGAAGGGGAGGGGCTATAAGATAGAAATGAGTGAGGCGGGGTGAAACATTCTTTTACAGACATTAAGCTCCCTGGATCTATCTCACCCTTAACTGTAGCTGTGTCCTTTCCCCTCTTCCAATTCACTCAGCCTCGTTCTCTTCCCATCCACTCTTCCCCGCGTCCTGCCAGCATTTTACTGCCAGTATTGGAGCCAGGAGCTGGCCACAGTTTCTGATGTCAAGCCACCCACTCTTCCCCCCCATAGTCCTTTCTTCTACATGCCTGGTATCAGTTCCCCAGTGGCTCTCACAAAGGGCTTCTGTGTTTCCTTTTCATAATGGGCATTGCCTCCGACCTTGTTGATCGGTTGGATGTTGTATGAGGATGTGGGTGGGCCCATGTTTCTGTGTGTGCAGCAGGTGCCTGTAGGTAGATGGGTGGGTCTGTGTGTGACTATGTGTAGGAGCCAGAGGCCTCAGAAACCATCCACTTCATGCCCTTGAAACGAGGTTTCTCAACGGAACCCGGAGTTAGCTCACAGATTAGGTGAGGCTGACTGACCAGCAAGCCTCAGGAATCCACTCGCCTCTGCCTCTCACGTATTAGGATTATCAGCGGGCGAATGTGCCTGCTTTCAGACATGGGTGCTGGACACCTGAAAGCAGGTCCTCATGTTTCCAAGGAATGTCTCCTCGGCCGTGGCCTGGAACTTCTCACTGCCTTTGCTGTTGTCAGGGCGACGGTGTGCTGGAGGGGTTTGCTGAATCAATGTTTATTTTCTTTCACTGTTTTGCAGAAACTGTGGGAGAAACTACAGCTTCATTCTAAGGCACCCTCCTTTCCTTGGCCTCGTCTGGGTCTATGCCTATCTCAAAAACCCTTTCTCCACCCCTTTCTCAGCCCCGGCCCCATTCTGATCTCAGCCCCAGAGTCTCTGCAGATCTTCCCAAGACCTCCATCCTTGATCTCTCGTAGCTAGACCACAGCCCGATTTCCCCGCAGCTAGGCCTGTATGAGGAGAGCCTCAGGAAGGCACTTTGGGAAAACTGAATGGGGATGAGGCATCTGAACCAAACCAAGGGCCTTCCCGCTGCCCCTCACTGAATCTGTCTCCTCCAGTCCCAGGGTCCCTGCGCTGCCCATTCTGCCTTTCTAATGACAGCTGTGAGGATGCACCAGAACAGGTCTGTCCTGCAGGAAGCACACACTGCTACGATGGAGTTCTCAGGCTCAGGGGAGGTAGGCTTAGACTCAGGGATCCCGGGGGACTGAGCATGGTGAGCCCCAAGGAGTGTAGAGCCAGTCTCCCCGAGCTGGGCTAGCCTCTGAGGCTCGCATGGTGTGTGTCTGTGTGTGTGTGTGAGCATCTCTGTCTCTCCCCTCTCCTCCTATCCTAGGAGGGATCGTCTCTGATCTGAAGGTGCAGGGATGTATGTCCGAGTCCCAGTCAGACTGCAACCTGCTCAACGGCACCCAGACAATCGGATCCATAAAAGTGAGTGAGGATTGCGGTCTTCAGTTAGGTGAGTCGAGTGCAGGGGGGGGGGGGGACTAGGCCACGCCCTCTACTGCAGCCTCGTAGCAAAAGGAAGCCATCAACACAGGCTGTCCATAGTGGCCATTTAAACTTGCATGTCTCACTCCACTGCGTGCTCTTGAGGAGACTCTTCAGGGGCTGGAAGGTTGGACCAAAGACAGGCTGTGGCCCAGGGGATGAGAAGTCATTGAGAGATGTTTTAAATGACTCTGGACCAGTGATTGGTGAGGTGGTCAGTGAGCATAACCCTACTGACCTAAGTTCTATCCCTGAAACCCACATGGCGGGAGGAGGGAATCCACAGTCCCCTGGGCCCCACCTGTGTGCTGTGATGTGCACATGCCCAGAGTAAGTAAACATAATTAAAAAACAACAAAAACAAATGTTGATCCCAGGTAAGCCTGTCTGTGGGATGAGTAGGGAGAATGCCGGGGTGCAAGGTGGCCTCTCTGCCCGGAATTCCGTGCCGGTGCCGGTGCAGTGGCACCCAGTGGTGTCCGCTCTGACAGCGGGTGCTTCTTTCTGATCACACCCCTTTGTAGTCTGTCATCACCGTATATATATTCATCTTATGGGGTGATGGGTTGTTTCCTTGTCAGGTGCTTTGAGATCCATTTCCCTCCTGTCCCCTTTCTTTCAAAGTCTCTTCTTCTTCCCGAAGAGTCTCCTTTCTTCAAGTCATACATATTTATGTGTATACATGAGTGTATGTATGTGTTCTAACATATGAGAGAACATATGAAATGTTCATCTTGCTGAGTCAGGCCTGTTTTATTTAATGTAATGATCCTGGGTTTTGTTTGCTTGGTTTTTGTTTGTTTGTTTGTTTGTTTTGCAAATGGCATTTCTTTCTTGTTCTTTTAAGCTTAGCAACATATTTCCTTACTGCTAATGTAATGCATTCTTACATATTTGTGAGTGTGACATGTTAGTATATACACACTAGGCTGGCCAGCCCCGACTCGCAACATTCACCTGTCTCCACTGCCAAATGCTGGGTTTTATGGGATACTAGAGATTTGAACTCAGGTCCTCTTACTTTGACAGTAAGCACTCATGCATGCACGAAGCCTTGGGCTCCACCCCCAGCACAAAGTAAACCCGCAATGGTGGCATGTGCCTGCCATCCCTGCACTCGAGAGTTAGAGGCGGGAGGATCAGAAGTTCAACGTTATCCCTGGCTAAACAGTAAGTCTGAAACTAGCCTGGGCTACATGAGAGCCTGTGTCAGCAGAAAACAACTCCATGGTATATGTATGCCACTCTTATTCCCACGAGCCTGACTTTGGGTGACCTTGAGTCTCTGCCTTCTGTTTGACGAACTTTCATTCTCTCTTCCATCTTTAGGCATCCTCACCCACAGGTTTGTGAGACCCCAGTGGCCTTTCTTCATAGAAATGAAAATCAGAGCGAACCAAGGGTCCTTTAGGTACATGCAGAAGGCCAGGGCTAAGTGGGGACTCTAGAGCACCCCCACGGTGCACTCAAGTGCATTGCCTGTTGTGCGCCAGGCAGAGCAGAGTACTGTGGACTGCCTCAGTAATGACAGACAGGGAACTGGGAGTCAAGGCAAGGAAGAAGATCCAGTAGGAATCCTGGCTCACCCAGTCTTCTCAGAGTCTGCCTCAGTTTCCTCTTTTGCCTGTGTTTCTCTAACTTTACACCTTCGGGGGGGGAGGTGCTGAGCGAGTTCAACCAGCATTAATCTCCGTGTTGGCTCATTTTTTTTTCCCACAGCTAGACCCTGTGACTCAAGGGCACAGCCTGGATGTGTCCAGCACCAAGGCTTCCTGTCTTGAGCAGCATGAGAGAAGATTCTAGAAGGGTCCACTTGTTGCTGCCTGTGAATGAAGTCCCTTACTGAGAGGGATTCATTCTCTTCTTTCTAGTTGCGGAGGCTCTGAAATGCCAGCATGGGACGCTGGAGTCCGTGCAGGATATATCAGACCTGCCTCTCCAGTGGACGGCTGGCCAGAAAACGTGCGATGTGGGTGAAGGCTGCCAAGACACGCTGGTGATGATAGAGAATGGTAGGAAGCGCCTCAGTGCAGAGACCCGCCCCCTTGTACTTGACTCTGCCCCTTGTACTTGGCCCAGCTCCCTTATGTCTATGGGGCAACAGTCCCAACCTCTACCCCAGCCTGACACCTTCTGTCTGTCCAGGAGAGCAGGTGAACTTGGTTCTCACGAAGGGCTGCACTACCGCAGAGGACCAAGAGGCCAAAGTCACAGAGCACAGGACTGGCCCGGGGTTGTCTGTCACCTCCTACACCCGAGTATGCCGTGAAAAAGACTTCTGCAATGACCTGTCTACCACAATCCCTCTCTGGACTCCACCTCTGGTGACAGGTGTCTGAAGGCGTCAGAAGGAAGCGAGCTTCAAGGGAGAAAGGGAGGCAGGGGTTCCAGCTGAAGTGTGTAGTGGGAAGAAATCTGTTTACACTATACATTTTGCATGCTCTTCCTTGCTGGAGAGCAGCCAGCCAGCTAGCTCGCCCCCTCCATGCTACCCTCACATTCTCCACAGCCCACTGCCCTCCATCCCTCCTCTCCATGGCTCTTCCTTCTTCATTCCTTTGATTCCTTGAGACCCAAAATAATTCCAGACTCCCCTGGCTGACCGCTGCCAGCCATCCTCAATGAAGCAGAATTTCTTATTTTTTTTAAAGATCTTTTCTAGTTGTGTTAGAGTGTGAGTGTGCGTGTGCATGTGTGTGCATGTGTGTGCATGCGTGTGCATGTGTGTGTGGCCATTCTGCAGAGGCCAGGAGAGGACATTGGATCCCCTGGTGGGGTTATAGTTTGTCTTGAGCCTCCCATGGTGGGTGCTAGGAGTCGAACTAGGATCCCCTGCAAGAGCATTATCCATTCCTAACTGCTGAGCCATCTCTCCAGCCCCAGGTCACCTTGTGTTTTTCTCTTCACGTGTTGTATTTAGTTATGAGTCAGGGTTGCCTGTGTGCACCACTGAGTGTGTATAACCTTTGTGAGTCTGCTCTGTCCCCCAACACATGGGCACCAGGGGTTGCACTCAAGCTGTCTGACTTGGTGGCAGGCAGGTCACCTGCTAAGCCATCTCTGTGATCATCCGAATGGGTTTTCTGATGAAACCCCAGTCTCACACTCCGGCCCTGACCAAGCCTGGTTTCCTGCCTCTTTCCCCTCTTGCCATATGGCTGCATTTGTGTCACTCACATCTCATTCAAGGATGCTGCATTTTTTCTGCCTCCTGGGCACTGGGCTGCAACTCTCCACTCTCCTTGTCTGCTGTTAAACTGGTCGGCTTCGTGTTTCTGTGTTCTCCGGAGTGATTTCGGACTCAAGTATTCTCCTCAACTTTTTAGCAAAAGTTTCATGTAAGGTCTTCTGTTCTTCCTCGGCCCCTCCTTCCCTGACTTAACTAAGTCTGTGTCTAGCCTCAGAGATTCCCCACATGCTTTTCCTGCACTCAACCCAGGGTCTCTGCCAGCTTCCCAGTCCTCTTGCTAGCCTACTACCCACAGCCCCAGTGCCCTGTAGTTGGCCCTGTAAGGACCCTGGAAGGATCCTTAGAGAGACTGGGGGGGGGTTGGGGAACTAAGAGGGGTGTCTGATCCTAACCCAGAGCTTTCCACTGTCCTCCACTATGTCTGTCACTTCCCAGCCCCAGGGACCACACGCTGCCCCCTCTGCTTTTCTGCACAAGCCTGTGAGAACGCGCCAGAGCAGGTCTGCCCCGCAGGTAGTATGCACTGCTACAATGGAGTCCTCAGGTTCTGGGGAGGTAAGTTTGGACACGAGGAACCTGGGGGACTAAACATGGTGAGCCTCAAGGAGTGTGGAACCAGCCCCCCAGAGCTGGGCTAGCCTCTGAGGCTCGCACGTGTGACCTTCTCTGTCAACCCCCCCACCCCTTCTCCTCCTATCCTAGGAGGGATTATCTCCAATCGGAAGGTGCAGGGATGCATGTCTCAGCCAGGCTGCAACCTGCTCAACGGCACTCAGAGAATTGGGCCCGTGAGTGTGAATGAGGACTGCAGTCCCCTGTCAAGTGAGTTGGACATGAGAAAAATTAGGTCAAAACTCACACGGCAAACCTCAAGGCAAAATGATCCTCATGGGGTGTGGGACACTGGCAGTTATCCACTGAGGCCAGGCCACTCCTGCCATTTCAATGAGCGTCACCCACTCAGCCATGCACAAGAGAAGGAAGCTCTAAGAAGGCTGGGAGGCAGAAGGCCAAAGAGAGGTGCCTAGTTGATGGAGAAAGGCAGGGAGTGAGGCCTAAAGCCAGGAGATGAGAGCCCATTGAGGGGAGCTTTAGATGATTTTGAGAAAAGCAAGCCTGCCTGACCTGATGCATGGGGGGTTGGGCGTACGAGGGAGGGCAGTTAGGGTGCAATGGGGTCACTTTGCTACTGGCGCCTGGCAGGGTTCATCTGGGGCACGAGCGTTTGTTTATGATTACGTTTCTGCGCACCCCAACCTTTGGTCAGCGCAGATCTCCTGCTTCATTTAGACAAAGCCCCCCATTCTCTCCATCACCTTCCTTCGTACTTATCCATGAGGCTGCCTGCTCCCTGGGAAAGAAAGTCACAGTCTCATCTTCTCATGCTGTGTGTGCCGTTAACTCTTAAAGCCCCGCAGAGAAAGGACACGCTAGCAGCCTTTCCTCTGAGGTTCCACACGACCCTAGCTAGAGCAGAAGCAAAAGGATATGGGCCGGAGGCCGCCGGCCTTGTGTGGATAAGAACTGACTCAATCAGGTGCCCTGGTGTGTATGCCGATGTGAGGCCGTGCAGGACGCTATGGTCCCTGCAGAACCCTCGGGTGAATAACATCCCATCTGTGCCTAACGGGCCTCTTGGGCTAGGTGGAGAAGAAACCTCAGCCTGCTCACTCTGTAACAGTAGAGAACAGGAGGCCCAAAACTGACAGAGAGGGATGCTGGTGTCAAAGAGGTTTTCGTCTGGAAAGTGACCTGTCTTAGGTTTCTTGATAGAAATGGTTTGCCAGGGACCAGGGAGAAAGTTCTGTGGCCAAGAGAATTTTCTGTGCAAACATGAGAAGGATCCGAACTCAGGTCCACAGCCTCCACCTAAACTGCTGGCTCTGGATGCGCGTGCACCTGTAACCTCAGTGCTATAGGAGGCGGGGACAGGAGGACCACAGCAGCTTGCCGGTTGCCACCTGTCTCCAGGTCAGTGAGAGATGCAGTCTCAAGGGAGGAAATAAGGTGGAGTGTGACAGAAAAGGACATTGACATTCTCGTCCAGCCTTTGCACATGC